TGTTTCATTCCAGCTTTGGTGCTTTTTATTTTCCTTCACTTCTCTCTCTAGCCACCTTCCCTAAGCATAAAAACTACATTGATGAAATGAAACTAGAGACAACATTTGGGCTATAAATAATTAAAACTCATTGAGTGTCGGATATGGACATAGATTGTAAATAATGAGTAATACATGGCCAAAAATTAATCCTACATGGGATTCGCTCGATTTTTTTTTGGGCTGCAGTTGTAGTAAGTACATGAATTTGTGTCTACACTATTTGATTTGCAAGAAATTAGTTTAGATTATTTTAAATGTTTTCTGAGACTTTGGCATGCATACCAGGAAATATACCAAGTAAAATTGGGAACTTAACAATGCTGGAGGAGATATACCTGAGCTACAACAAATTCACCGGTATATTGTTGCATTTCATTGTATGAATTAAATTAAATAGCCTAATTATATAGTTTGATATATATGTGCATATCTTGTTGATTTTTCAGAAATTCCAAACGAGATCGGATTTTTAGATCAGGTGGAGCATTTGTTCGTTCAGGTGAACGCCCTAAAAGGGCATGTTCCTGCCAGTGTCTTCAACATGTCCTCTTTGACTATTTAGACTCTATATGAAAACAGTTTGAGTGGTGGTCTTCCAGATAATATATGCCAGCATCTTCCTAATCTTCAGGAAGCTAATTTTGGCCGCAACCAGTTTGATGGTCCACTTCCATCCAAATTATGGCATTGCAAACATCTTCTTTCATTAGCATTGTCTAGAAACAATTTCAGTGGAAGCATACCCAAATATATTGGCAACTTAACCCAATTAACAACGATTTATCTGGAAGACAACAATTTGACAGGTAATTGATATTTCATTATGTTGTTCCAACTATATCTTTTTGTTTGGCATCATTTATCATTATTTAACTATTTTGTACAAGGTCAACAGATAAAAAAGAGAACGAAAACCCCTTCAGCCCTGTTCACTTCTCTTGGGCTACAAATTGTATAGAATAAAATAGATTGAATTGCATAATAAACGTTAACATTGTATAGAAGTCAATATTGTTTTCATCTAACCTAATGCGCTACAATGTTTTGAAATTGTGGCAGGCACTATACCAAACGAGATCGGTGATCTTCAGAATTTAGAGGTTTTATCAATCCAAATTA